ATGTACAGTTCTAGTGGAGACAAGGCACAGATAGTTTTTATCTCACTGTAGCCAGATGAGGTCAACCCTCTCTCCCCCAACTCGGACTGATGGACATTTCTGCCAGGAGGGGGACACACTCCCATAACTCATAAGACAAAGGAGTTGATAGAAAGGATCACAGGATTCACCCCAAAGAAAGGTGAACTGCAAAAGGTAGAAGGTGGCAACTCACCCGAGGGGAGCTGAGAGACTACAGTAAAGGAAATGGTGCAATCAACCTTAAAGACCACTATGTGGGAATTAGCCAATGTATTAAAAAACCAACCAACCAAAATCCCACAACAAAAAAGAAACAAAAAAATCTTTGGGCAGCCCTACTGAATACAAGCATAGTGTTATTCTCCGGTGTGGATTCTCTGATGTGAGACAAGCTGTGAGCTATAACTGAAGCCTTTACCGCACTGAGGGCATCTGAAGGGTTTCTCTCCAGTGTGGATTCTTTGATGTATGATAAGCTCAGAGCTCCGAATGAAGCTTTTCCCACACTCACAGCAAGTATAGGGTCTGTCTCCTGTGTGGATTCTCTTATGTATGATGAGCTCTGAGCTCCGACTGAAGCTTTTCCCACACTCAGGGCAGCTATAGGGTGTCTCCCCTGTGTGGATTCTGTGATGTGCGGCAAGGTTTGATCGCCGATTGAAGCTTTTCCCACACTCAGGACATGTGTATGGTTTCTCTCCCGTATGGATTCTCTGATGTGTGATAAGGTTTGAGTGCCAACTGAAGCTTTTCCCACACTCAGGGCATGTGTAGGGGGTCTCCCCTGTGTGGCTTCTCTGATGTGTGATCATCTGTGAACTATCAGTGAAACTTTTCCCACAGATAGGGCATGAGTAGGGTCTCTCTCCTGTGTGGATTCTCCGATGTGAGACAAGATGTGAGCTGTAACGAAAGCCTTTCCCGCACTCAGGGCATCTATAGGGTCTCTCTCCAGTGTGTATTCTCTGGTGCTTACTAAGATCTGAGCTCCGAGTGAAACTTTTCCCGCACTCTGGGCACGCGTAAGGTCTCTCTCCCGTGTGGATTCTCTGATGTCTGATCAGCTCTGAGCTCCGACTGAAACTTTTCCCACACTCAAGGCACGTGTAGGGTTTCTCACCTGTGTGGCTTCTATGATGCATGATAAGGTTTGAGCTACGACTGAAGCTTTTCCCACACTCAGGACATGTGTACGGTCTCTCTCCTGTGTGGGTTCTCTGATGTGTGATAAGCTGTGAACTATGACTGAAGCTTTTCCCACACTCAG